TAGTGAAGGTTGGTAAGGGGGTGATAATGGTGATTGAGGAGGCAGTGATGATGGAAAGGATTGGTGTGTATGGTTAGGGTGTTGGTGGCTGTGGGTTGTGGAAGTTTGGTGGTACTCAACATGGTTGCCTGGTTGGCGGAGGATGATAGTTTTACTAATGTTAAAATGCTGTGTAGTGAGACTAATAATGGTGACTGGGGTCATAGATTAGCGAATAGTCTTGATTATAGCCTACACGGTGTAAATTATGTTTTAGATACATCTTCAGATTTATTATTATAATTATTCCTACTATTATTGTAGAGAATAATCTTGATTATAACCTACACGTTTCTAGATTATATTTTAAATACATCTGGTTTATTATTATTATTATTATTATTATTGTCAGACGGAAGTGCTAAACTCGTAGAAGTCGCACACTGCCTGGGGACTGAAAGGTAGTAATGATTTTTGATCATAGAAGGAAGAGTAGTAGCTCCAATTCTTCGTATCAAGAGCCCTTCACCAGTATAAAGGCACTTATTTGAGAGGCATAGCATGTAGAGAGGATGAAGGTAACGTGGTTAAGGCCAGGTAGTTGAAGTGTGCTGCAGGAACTTTCATAACAAAGGGTGACATACTAATTATGTTTATACTTTTCAGAGCACTTGTGCTCTGTCGTTTAGATCCTTTCAAGTCGGTGGGGGGTGGGAGTTACCTTGATACTGGTGAAATTCTCTTGATCTTAGGAATTGGATCTACCCTTCCCTTGGCTCGAACCTACCTCCTACGGATGAGATGCTATCTTATAAATATAATAATCTGTCGTGTATACTATTGTGATAACCTTCTCCAAGGCAGTGAGATATCCCAACTAGAAAATAGAGAACTTTTGCTGCTCGTATATAAAACTCAGATAAATGTTCTAATATTCCGGCCAGCTCTAGGACCGGACGAGGACCCCTGAAAGCAACAAGTAGATAACGAGTAACCGGTAACGAGTTCAAGAACTGAATGTACCGTAGGAATACTAATATGTACACTGATATAGCTACTGACGTTTAGGCTACGTTAGTGTGCGACAAACCAGTGTATATAAGGAGCGCCAAGGGCACGAGAACAGTCAACATAATAGTTTCCTGTAATGTAACCAACCCTATTGGGATTATACGAAGGTCACTATTTGCTAATCTATCAGTCATTCTGTCGTTAAATTAGTTATATATATAATATATATATATATAATATATTATATATATAAATATATATATATATATATATATTAATATATATATATATATATATATATAGAAAATATATATATATATATTATTATATATATAATAATATATATATAATATATATATATTATATATATAATAATATATATATATTATATATATATATAATATATATGTATATATTATATATATATACATATAATATATATATATATATTATATATATATATATATATAATATATATATATATATACATATAATATATATTATATATATATATATATATATATATATTATATATATATATATATAAAATATATATATATATATATATATATATATATATATTTGGTTTATGTAACCACTGAAGCGTATATCTAATTTACAAATAAACTAATTAAATATAACCTTCTCTCCTCTTCTTTCCTGTACTGTATTTTGTTTTCCTTTTTCTGGTAGGTGAGTTCTGTCCTATTTTTTTAAATTCCCTTGTGGTTTTTGTTCTTTTCTTGTGAGCTATTTGCTCTCCTGCAGTGCTCCTTTTTTTTCCTTTTTTCTCTTGTTCCTAGACTTCCTCTACTAATGTTGCTTCGATATCACTGCTCTGTAACCCCTTGTTTCTTTACCACTACTACCTTCTTATTGCCACCTCTGCCACTGTTGCACTTTAAACTTCCACAACCTTTACCATTACTACTACCATACTACTACTACAATTATACTACTATCTCGTTCTACTACTACCGACCCCGTCTCCCCACCCCCCCTCCTCCCTTACTTTTGCGAGTGTGACTAGCTAAGGATCCAAGTTGTCAAAAGTTTGTCTTCTGTGTGCGGGTTATTTGTGTGTTCCACCCACGGTATTGTGCCTTTTTATTCTTCCTTATATCCTTTCTAAATCTAAATTTGTCGAACTTGAATCCATTGCTGCGAGTCCTGTCTTAGTTAAATATTTTCAACGTGTTATTTATACATCACTTATTTATTCTTGTTTTCCATTTGTTCACTTAAATTATATTCCCCGTAGTTCTAAGTCTTTCCAGAGAGATTGCAAACTTTCTGTCCATTCTGTAGCATGGAGACCAGAACTGAGTATCATAATCTAAATAAGGCCGTACTAAAGATATATGAAGCTGAAGCATAACCTGAGGACTTTTATTTATACTGCTTAAATAAGCAGAATTATTAGTTTTTTTTCTTTTCGTTTCAAATTCTGCTAAAGAAGGAAGGCTGTCATCTCTATGGTGAAGACGGTTTGTTGGGGTATGAGGATTGCTATGATGGTTGGATAATGGGGTGTTAATAGCTTATAAACTACATACGTCATTAGGTTGCGCGTAACATTTTACCACCAACAAAAATACTTTAATCCTAAAAAGAGATTCAAGTTTCTTAAAGAATGATAACCACTACAAGTTTCGCTCTCTTAAGTATGGTATAATAAAATTAATTTGTCCAATAAAACAACAGTATACACAATTAGTATATTGAGTCAGTGAGTGTATGAGCTGTTTCACACATTAGAACGTGCGTTATCATAAGATAAAAGTGCACAAAGTCCAGATTGGGTGACTCTCATCCGAGACCTGTCATCCAGGGACTCTCTCATCCAGAGCCCCTGTCTCCAGGGCTCATTCAGAGACTTCTCATCCGGGACTCTCTATCCAGAGACCCTTGTCATCAAGGGGACTCAGTCCAACCTGTATCCAGGGACTCTCATCAGAATCCTGTCATCCAGGATCATCTCTCAGAGTCCTGTCATCTGGACTCTCATCCAGACCCTTCATCCAGGAACTCTCATCCAAGACCTGTCATCCAGGGACTCATCCAGAACCCTGTCATCCAGGACTTCATCCAGAGACCTTGTCATCCAGGGATATCATCCAGAAACCCTATCATCCAGGGACTCTCCAGAGACCTGTCATCCAGGGACTCTCATCAGAGCCTGTCATCAGGACTCATCAACAAGACCCTGTCATCCAGGACTCTCATCCAGAGACCCTATCATTCCAGGGATCATCCAGAGCCCTGTCATCCAGGACTCACACAGAACCCTGTCACCAGGGACTCATCAGAGACTGTCAATCCAGGACTCTCATCCAGAACCCTGTCTCCAGGGACTCTCATCCAGAGACCCTGTCATCCAGGACTCTCATCGAACCCTGTCATCAGGACATCCAGAGACCCTGTCATCCAGGGACTCATCCAGAGACCCTGTCATCCAGGGACTCATCTAGAGACCCTGTCATCCAGGGAGTCATCCAGAGACCCTGTCATCCAGGGACACACTCATCCAGGGATTCTCTCATCCAGGGACTTTCTCATCCAGAGACCCTGTCATCCAGGGACTCTCATCCAGAGACCCTGTCATCCAGGGACTCTCATCCAGAGACCCTGTCATTCAGGGACTCTCTTATCCAGAAACCCTGTCATCCAGGGACTCTCATCCATTGACCCTGTCATCCAGGGACCCTTCATCATGAGATCCGTGAAAGTGTGACCAATAGCAGGACTGCAGGTGTTGATAAAAATTTGAAATTGGTGAGCAGTGTGTATTGATGGGAGGAGAGAAGAGTGTTCAAGCTAATGGAGGAATGAGATGGAGGGCATATGTGATGTTCGGCAGGGGTCATGCTGATGCTGATACGTATGATGTACAATGTCGGGGTGATATTATTCTTCTGTTTTCATATGTAGCTCATTTATTTGCAGAATTTTGTTAATTTTTTTTTTTTTTTTTTTTTTTTTTTGCTTCAATTTTGAAGCAGTGATTTGAAGCGTATATTATTCCAATACTGTATTTGAATTTTTCAGCTCAGGGGAAATTTTTTCATTTCCTTCAGACACGTAGCTTGCACACATCTTATTTTCTGACAGCTGTCTGCCTTCTCAGGCAGCTTTTTTTTAAGAGTTGCAGTGAGGTTCGTTAGGCATGATTGGTTACCCCAGGCAAGAATGAAGGCACACTAGGATCAGGTGTCTTGCTGGCCTAGTATACACACCAGTGTGTGGTTGCAGGGGTCGAGATACAGCTCTTATATACTCCTGCAACATCTGCTTTACTTCACCTTCCATATTAATCCAATTGCTGTGTTTGCTCAACCACGTGTTGGCCATTCTCATAAAAATGTTTCTCAATCCACATGTTCCTCATGCTGGTCCAGCTGCTGTTTCACTTTATCAAGCACTACTGACTGCTGCTCCTACCTGCTCCTTAGCACTCAGACCTTTGACAACTACTGTTAATGCTTCGCCTGAATCAAATATTTGACTTGTTCATGGCGACTGTCTAACATTGTTGTTTCTGTACTTCTGTTTCCTATCAGAGTGTATGTATGCTTTGATGCCACAGAAGGGCTCATACTTAAAGGACTTTGGAGTTACACTCCCTCTCCTTGAATCAACTTATAATTAATTCTCATTTACCAGGTACTGTATGATGGATGGCGACGGTCATGGCAGCTGGTATCGTCACTGCTACCATGGCATTCGTATAGTCATGTTCATTTATATATTCCAAGTTTATTCATGGCATATTTTCAGTGTGATGTGTAGTTTAAAATAGCTTAAGCCTTATCTAAATTAGCAGTGAAAGATATCCACAACCCCTACACTAACAGATTACTGTACTATATAGTACGTAAGTAAAATACATATGCTGTATGCACTGTGTAATCTGTGTATTCATTCTATTTCCTTTAATGTACAGGTACTGGTTATGAACATCAGTGCAGTAGTTTTGCTTGAACAGTTGCAATATATTAATATACTTGCAGACGGAGCAATGATCGTGAGGAAGCCCGAAGATCATGGGGCCCTGCAGACAAGGAAGAGGGCAACAGGGACTTCTGGGCCTCTATCCAGGAACCCTATGATTATATCATGGGTAGCAACCTCATCCCGGACTCATGCCAGGTAAAACAAACAGCTTCTCTGATAATGACTGGTGTAATAATGAGAAAAATGATAATTGAATTGACTCCTATTATCCAGGAGACTACATGCTCATGAAATATAAAAATAACCAGTTTTCGTGAATCCCTTCACTAAATATTACCCTCACTAAATATTACCCCAACAGCTTGTCAGGTCCCAAAAACCATTCATCTCCATTCACTCCTATCTAACACGCTCATGCACGCTTGCTGGAAGTCCAAGCCCCATGCCCACAAAACCTCCTTTACTCCCTCCAACGTTTCGAGGACAGCCCCTACCACACCTTCCTTCCCCTATAGATTTATATGCTCTCCATGTCATTCTACTTTGATCCATTCTCTCTAAATGACCACACCTCCAAATTTCCACACTTCGAATTCTCTGCATAATATTTACACCACACATCGCCCTGAATAGGACATCTCCGCTGCCTCCAACAGCCTGGTAGCTTTAAATATTGAGTTGGCATCCAGGGGACTTACTAGGCATCAGTTTCACTTAATTGAGTGTTACATTTTAATACTCTACTCAAATAATAATTACAATATATTTTTGTTCAGCATTATAAAACACCTAAAACTATAAATATGAAATGTAAACCTTTCATAGTTCTCCCATTAATTTTATTGTGTTAATTCATTCCTTAGGTTGGTGAAACAAATGAAGCTCCATCATCAGGAGAGTTCGAATTGTGCTGGGACAGTGGAGATGTGTCACCACCTTACGTTTGGAGTTTTTCAGAATTTCTTGATCAATATAATGAGCTGTATGAATGGCTTATACAAGTTCAACTCAAGTTGTATTCACATTCAAACCCACCAGACAAAGCAGCAAGGATGGTGAGGATTTTATAGCTGGCTCTCTAATACTAAGCAGTAATGTATCAGAAACATCGTGGAAAAAGCTTCTTATATTAACGTCTGTATACATTTGTTTTGTTGTTTTGTGCATGTAGTAGCATTTTTGTTGTATGGGCATAGCTAAATGGCTTTATATGGCTTTTGTGTTGAGAATGGTAGAATGCTAAATGTAATATTTAAGCTATATTAACTTGTTGCAACCTGCTTAACAATTACTTACAGTAGGCAAATATGTAATGTTAGGGAAATTTTAGGATATATTCCTTTCACCAGGAGTTGCAGTTAACCCTTTGACTGTTGCAAGCCCCTTTCTGAAACTGTCATTCTATGTTGCAAAATTTTTGGAAAAAAAAAAAAATTTTTTCTTATGAAATGACAGAGAATCTTTTCCTGATGGTAATGACACCAAAAGTACAAAATTTGGTTGAAAACTCACAGAATTACACTCCCACAAAGTTAGTGGTCTCGGCGACATATACGCATCGGCGATTCCGCCGACTTTGAGCCCTGTTTTTGGCCAATTCCGTTGTTCCAGTTCACCAAACTCATAGCTATTTCTTTAGAACTTCATTTTTTCTATCAGTTGAGTACAAGAAACTGCCCATTTACCGATTTGAACTACCCAATAAAGTGGTCAGAAATTGGCAATTTGGATAATTTCACGCAAATTAAAAAAGATGCCGATTTCAAAATAGGGTCCAGAATAAACAATGTAGACATTCTTGGCACTAAAATAACATATCCTCTGTTCATTAGTCACGTCTCTAGGCCCCTCTTATATTATTGTTGCTTTCTATTTTGATTTTTTTTATTCATACGAAAAAATACAAAATTTACTGTTATGCAGACTACTGCATTATTGTAAAAAATGGTATAAATAATATCAGTGCACTAGTGAAAGAATATTAGACTCCACAGTTGACGTGTATTGGATGTGTGGTGTGATTTGCTTACTCCTGAACTTTGGTAAAAATCGAACATTTCTGCTACTTTGAGCTCAATTTCACGGTCGTTTTCATCGTGAAACTAATCAAAATCATCTCTATTTCTGTAATATGTTTTCCATTTCATCACGTGAGACCATGAAAACGAGAATACAATGATAAATACTATACGAAAATACACCTCAAAGTCGGTGTTTTAATCCAAAATGACTGTCAGTTTTGTTATGTACTGTGTGCTGCAGGATTTTTTTTGTGGTGCACACTGACCACACAGACCCATTCTCTCACATGTGAGCCTACCAGCTTTCTCCTGCTTGATTTGAAGCCGCTAGAATTTATGCGTATTAATGTGTCCGAAACACTGGCTCGTAAGACATATATACGACCAAAACAGTCAAAGGGTTAACTCTAATATCTATACGCTCTCATTTTGTGGCGTTTCATTTTTATTTTATAAATGCCATTAAATTGTGCAGTAAATAGTATTGTAGATATTTAAATTTTGCATGCCATCTCTTGGGAATAATTTACTGTCACTACAGGTACAGTTGAGAATAACAAATCCATTAGGTTTTGTTCTGAGAACTCTTTAAGAATGGGAGGGTACCACTGACTTTACCTGTTTTGCTTTTGATGGGAGACCTCGGGTAATCTGAGGCGAGGTAGTACTAGTGTTTGTATTAATATTGGTAGAATTACCGACAATGTTAAGTAAAAGGACACGAGTGCAACTAATGTAACATTTTATTGTGGCAACGTTTCACTCTCCAGGAGCTTTGTCAAGCTGGCTTGACAAAACTCCTGGAGAGAGAAACTTTGCCGTAAAAGTCACATTAGTTGCACTTGTCGTTTTACTTAACTAGTGTTTGTAATCAGTGCTTGAAGCTCGAATTGTGGACAGCATGGGTAAACTTGAGGCATGCTGTTTAACTTTTAAATATAAGCATTGAGTTATAATTGTCTGACCATAGAAATCTGATGTAGAGCAGCTAACATTAAGAGAACAGAGCTTATATTGGGGTTGTGCCTTTCACATCACAGGTTACAGACTCATCCATATTGAATGTCAGACTTCATTGACAACTGTGAGACATGCTTGCTTCTGCTTCCAGATCGGGGCCTGTTGTAGACAAAACATCTCATGATTATGACCTGAAAATCTTGTTTCTATTCACTAATCTAGGGTTTTAGTAAAACAAACTCAGTGTACCCATCTATACTAAATAAAGGCACCTCGTACAAATATATTTACAAGAATAAGAAAGTCACAGTACTGTGACTGGAGCAATTCATAAATAACCCACACTTAGGAGAAGAAACTTTTGACAATGTTGAGGTTCTTTCTGAACCATTGTCAAATTGAAACTTTACAGTAGTCCAGGATGGACTGAAATGTCAAAAAGTTCCTTTTCTAAGTGTGGGTTGTTTGTGAGTATATTTACAGTTTGCTTGAAAAAACAATATTTGCTGGATAAAGCATAATTGAAGTAATAGCCAATTTTAAGCCCAAAACCAGTCTTGTCATGTAAAAGATATTGTACATTGCACAGAAATCTTAAGAGCCACACAAGTATAAAAGTGAGGGAGGAAAAAAGTAGATGGTGCATTGAAGTTTGTGTGAAAAGAAAGAAAAGCTTTTCTGGTGACAAAATAAATAAATGTATCAGAGTATTCTCAAGAAGATTCTGGGGGTCACTACCTCTGCAGCCAGGTCTCAGACCAGGGCTCCAAGTTGAAGTTTCATCAACCAGACTGTTAGTGCTAGTCACACCCAACCCAGCAAGGCACCATAGCCCAGCTGATCAAGAAATGACTAAAGGAACTTGTCAGCTTATATCTTGTGTATTAATTTATCTCTTAATGTCCTCATTGTACTCCTGCTTTTCACTGCGTATTTTCCACCATCTGCTGAGCCTCTTGTTTCCGTAGAGAGTGATTTCAATGTGTAGATTCATGATCATTCAATCAAGAATTTTAAAGATGTAAATTGTGATATATCTTTCTTGTATATACTCCAAAGAGTACAGCTTGAGAGATTTCTGTGTCTGATAATTTAAAGTTTGAGGGACTTCTGTGTTTCTGACAATTTATGTGCATACTTAAATACATAAGTAGGTAGTAGGTTGGTAGAGAGCAGCTGCCCAGGGAGGTACTACTGTACTGCCAAGTGAGTGTAAAACGGAAGCCTGTATTTGTTTTACACGATAGTAGGATTGCTGGTGTCTTTTTTCTGTCTCATAAACATGCAAGATTTCAGGTACGTCTTGCTACTTCTACTTACACTTAGGTTATGCTACACATGCATGTACAAGCATATATATACACACCCCTCTGGGTTTTCTTTTATTTTCTTACTAGTTTTTGTTCTTGTTTATTTCCTCCCATCCCCGTGGAGAAGTGAAACAGAATTCTTCCTCAGTAAGCCATGCGTGTCGTAAGAGGCGACTAAAATGCCGGGATTAACCCCTCCTGTATACATTACTAAAGTTAAAAGACACTTGTTTTTCTTTTTGGGCAACCCTGCTTTGGTGGGATCTGGCCCGGTTTGTTGAAAGAAGAATAGTAATTTATGAAGAGGGTTTATAAGCCTCTTGTACATGAACTGTCATATTTAATGAAAGGTCTGCTTTTGTTATACCAGTGTTTTCTACCAGCCCCAGGTACTTGCCATTGTTGTCCAGATCTCTTACTAGGCCCCCTCCAAAATAAGTCCTGGTTTATATCACAACTTTTATAGGCTTTCATATCTTTCCTGATACAGTATAGGAAGAGATTGTTTACCATGTAATGATATATGGCTTTTTAACACTGGTTCACACTGGGTGACATCCATTGTAATTCAGCCGACTTTAGTCACATGACTCAGGACTCTTGGAACAAGATACTAGTAAAATGCAAGTGAACTGAGTGTCATTAGTTCTTTAACCTTATAGGTACCTCACACCATTTGAAATCAATTACTGTATTAATCAACACACACCATTTACATTTTATATGTTTCTTGTTTATGAATGAAGCTTTGAAAAAGCTGTACTGTAAATTACTTTTACATAAGAACATAAGAAAGAAGGAACACGCAGCAGGCCTACTGGCCCATGTGAGGCAGGTCCAATTCTCCTACCGGCTTAAGCCAACGCCCTAACCTACTCAGGTCAGGTCACATTCACTTAAGGAAGGAGCACGGCATCTAACCTATTTTTAAAACTACACGACGTCTTAGCTTCTATGACGGTACTTGGGAGTTTGTTCCACTCATCCACAACTCTTACCAAACCAGTGCTTTCCTATATCCTTCCTGAATCTGAATTTTTCCAACTTAAAGCCATTGCTGTGGGTCCTGTCTAGGCAAGATATTTTTAGCATGCTGTTTACATCTTACAAATTTGTTATTTCATAGAAAACAACAGTACAAATGATGGATCTGTTTCAAAAATATTCGTATTGCTGCTTGGCATTTGTAAAAATTTTAATTAACTCCTAAGTGCCCCATTTGTAAGTTTAAATCTGTGTACATGTATTTTGGCTGTGTATCTTTTTGTATATCAAAGATTGTATGTAAGTGTAAATGTGCTGAGTTGTGTTTGAAGGGGAAAAGTCTCATCTCCTAGCCCTGTCTCTTAAACTAGTCACTGGCACTATTTGTTCCTGGCTTCAAGGACTTTTATCATACCTTCTCTTGAAACTGTGTATTGCTTTGTCAAAGCAATACACAGTTTCTTATTTGTTGTAATCATGTCTTCCAATCCTTCTAAAGCTGTCAAGTTCAGCTTCTTTAGTCTCTCTTCATAACTCGATCCCTCATTTCCATGACCTCTTGCTGGAAACCTCTGGACCTTTTTTTGATCGGATGAGGGTGCCATGCTAGTTTTCCATATTCCATGATAGGTCTAACATATGTCCAACTAAGTGTAGATGTGTGCATATCAGGGTGTTTGTAAATGTGGCTGTACATATCTTGTGGTTTTGTAAATGTGGATGTGTAGACAAGAAAATATCAATGGAAAAGAAACTATATATTGATTCCCATCTAGAATG